TAACCCCATATATATGGGGCATATCTATGGGTATAAAGTCAACTGAAGCAATAAACTAAAAGTGCCAGAGCATTTCCCCAGCCCTAGCAGGAAGAGCCAGGCCCAGACCTTCAGAATTCCTCCACCTCTCCACACTGGACAAGCAAAAAAAAACAAAAAAAACCCAAAAAACTCACTGCCATGGATTCGACTCATAGCGACCCCTCCTTGGGTTTCTGAGGCGCTTATCTCTATGGAAGTATATTGCCCAGTCCTCCTTCCAAGCAGTGGTTGGTGGGTTTGACCAACCAGCCTTCTGGTTAGCAATCAAATGCCTTAGGCACTAAGCCACCACAGCTCCCAGCAGGAAGGTTCCAAACGGGGCAGGAGCACCTCCAGAGAAATCCCCAAAAGCTTGAGATTCAGAGTGGGTCCTGCATTCAACCCAGCCATAGCCCTCATAATCCCACCAGGCTTTGCTGCTGCATCTGACCTACCCCCTTTATCTCTCCTCAGTCAATCCAACCACAGTTCTCCGTCCCTCCACCTCTCCTAATACTCCCTTCTTATTCATTATTTATTTAATTTAAATTTAAAAAGTAGGTAATGAGCGCCACTTACATGCCAGACCTAGGGCTCAGCATTAGGGATTCCCATTCTGTCCCAGACCCCCTCCCTCCCCCACCCTCACCCCATTCCTACCCCATCCCTTTCTATTCTTCCACAGTTCTGCCCCTAACTCAATAGCCTTTGCTGCCACCCCCACCCCTCCAGGGCACTTTAGTTTATTGCTTTAGTTGGATTTGTACACAAGGAGTTATTCCCTATAAATAAAAGACAGGGGAGGGCGAGCATTGAGAAGCATGTAACTGGCTGGAAAAGTCTAGGTGCTGGAACTCAGACAAGATTCCAGGGAATCTGGCCCTTCCAGGAATCCTCAGCTTTTTGGTAATAAAGGACAGGGAGTCTCAGGCGAGCTTCTCACCCGCCTTGCTGGCTCCAACTCCTCACATCAGATAGACCTCTCCCTTTCTCCCACGTACACTCAAACCTTTGAGAAATTCTTTCTGAACTCACTCTCAGTCCTTCAAGGTGGTAGCAGGAACTAGCCCCTGCTGATATTTGTCTGTAGACCTTCCCCTCTCACACATTAGTTGCAGTTCTAAACACCTTCCTCCTGGGTCCGGGTAAGAACTTTCCCACCTAGATGGTAAAGTAGAACCCGGAGGACTCCTGGCACTCCTATAATGCTCCCTAATCCCCTAATCATCCCATTATCTAGTTTCCCCAGAGCCACAGGCTCTTTGTGGGGCAATGGGGGGGGGGGGCGGGAGAAGAGAGTTAACCCACCCTTATCAGGGGTCATCTCTGAGTTAACTCTGGAGTTAAACCTGTCTCTCTGGTTCCCGCTCCCCCTTAGCAGGACATCGGAATGTAAGGCTAGGCTGGGGGGATGGGAGGAGCACAGGACGATAAGACACAGACACTATTTCTCTCCTTGACTCCCCTCATCTGACTCCTTTAACTGCAAGAGTCTGGGTTCTGAGAGCCCCTTGCCAGGGCCTCTTGCTCCACCTTCTCACAGGATCAGCTTCACAATCACAATCACCGATTTCTCCTTTCCGATCGCGATCGCGTATCTTTCACCCCCACCCCAGAGCTCCAGTGCTGGGAGTCTAGGGGCTCCGAATCAAAACTCCTCCTTCATGCCCCCTACTCCCCCAGCTCTCCTAGAGGTTGTTAGACTGAATGAAAAGGCCCTGAACCACAGAGGAATCTAGAGTGGTGGAAAAGGGCAAGGGGAGAGAAGGGGGGGGGAGTGTGCTGGAAGTCTGAGGTCGGTATTTGCCCCAATGCTGCAAGAGGTCAGGAATGTGGCCATCAACATCAGCTACGGGAGATAAGGCCCAGTTGGCAGCTCTCCCACTCCTGCCCCCAGACTGAGCCTCCGCAGGCCTCAAAAGGTCCCAAGCAGTTGGGGTGGCCAGGGATCAGAGAAGGATCTAGGAAAGAGCCTGGGGAAGAATCCTGGGATCTAAGCCTGATCCTGGTGGAATTCAAAGTCCCCCAGGGATATTAAGTGACTTAGTGAGAGAGACCTAACAACTTTAAGTCAATTTTATAATTAAACTGACCCCCCCACACACAGACACACACCTTCCTCTTCCACCTTATGCCTTATTTTGCAGTAACTAATTAATGAGTATTAATGAGTATGAATAAATAAGTAATAATTAGCATTTCTTTCCACAGTGCTGGCTTTAGCAGCACATATGTTAAAAATTGCTCTGGCACAAAGATGGCACACCCATTGCCACCCGAGGAGATAGAACAAACCAAACCAAAAACCAAACACACTGCTGTGGCGTTGGATCCGACTCATAGCGACCCCTCCTTGGGTTTCTGAGGCAGTATCACTACAGAAGTAGATTGCCCAACCTTCCTTCTCAGGAGTGACTGGTAGGTTTGAACTGCCAGCTTTCTGGTTAGCAGTCTAATGCCTTAGGCACTATGCCAGGAGATAGAACAAGACTTATTATTTTCCTTTCATAAGTGAAGAAGTCAAGCAACTAGTCCAAGGTCACAAAGCTAGCAAAGAACCCGTTAGCTGACTTCAAGCTTAAAATCAGTAAAAGTCAATACACTGGATATATGTAATGAGAAATGTAAAAGAGAAATGAAGTTCTGATACCTGCTACCACACTGATGAACCTTAAAGACATTATGCTGAGTGAAATAGGTCAGACACAAAAGGGCAAATATTATATGGCCCTGTTTTATAAAATATTTAGAATAGGAAAATGCATAGAGACAAAAGTAGATTAGTGGTTATCTGGGTTAGAGAAGGGAGGAATAGGGAGTTCTTGTACAACGAGTACTGTTTCTGTTTGTGGTGATGAAAAAGTTTTGGAAATAAATAGTGGTGATGGTTGCACAACATTGTGAATATAATTAATGTCACTGAATTGTACATTTAAAAATAGTTAAAATGGCAAATGTCATGTCACATATTTTTTACTATTATAAAATTATTTTAAATCTTAAAAAAAAAAAAAGTTTAATTCATCACGTTTCATCTATATATCTTATTGCGCTATTCTACACAACATGACAATTCTGGAGCCAAGTGGGGGAAAGTGAAGGTGGAAGCAGGAGAAATCTCTTTAACTGGCTGGTACCTCTAACCTTCCAAGAAAAAAATGAGTGGGCATCATGTGCATGTTAGTTTACATACTGTTTGCCTCCTCACCTGCAGCAGGCCCTGCCCTCCTCTAGTAAGTTCCCACCCACCCTGGCCAGCTCCAACTGAACATTGTGGGGCTTTCCCCACCTAAAGGTGGGGAGCCTGGGACCAAGCCCTGCTTCTGAACTGAGCCTCCCATCTGGATGACCCATCCACTGGCCAGGCTACTCCCAGGCCTGCCTTCCTACCTGCCTCCACTTCTTCAGCCCAGCTGGCAGTGTAATAAGAATCAATAGGTCCCCTTGAGAGCAAAGAGCACAGCCAGGTGTGTTTGGCCTGCTGGACAAAGGACTGATGATGGTGACAGACTTGAGGGCCTAACTCCAAGGTTTCTGCAGTTAATTCAGCAGAAACCATAGAGACTAATCTACTAATCTACTTTTGTCTATGCATTTTCCTATTCTCAATATTTCATAAAACAGAGCCATACAATATTTGCCCTTTTGTGTCTGACCTATTTCACTCAGCATAATGTCTTTAAGGTTCATCTGTGTGGTAGCAGGTATCAGAACTTCATTTCTGTTTTACATTTCTCATTACATATACGCAGCGTATTGACTTTTACTGATTTTAAGCTTGAAGTTAGGTTTGGAAAACAGGGCAGAGAGCAGTGGGAGCTTCCCTATCTCCATCTTTCTCCATTCATTTCCTGAAGTGAGCTTCCCTGCAGAGGCAGACCCCTCTGGACAGGTTTGGGGAACACACCTATGGGGAGGGGCACGGAAAGGAGGGGTTCTTGAGGAACTCCTAGCAGAGGAGAGGCATTGCCAACCAGGGCTGAGTCTCAGCTGGCGCGTTTCTAGTTTCTAGGTGCACTTGTCTGCCCTTTTAGACCCCTGTACCATGAGGGACACACTGCAATCTGCCTGAGGAACTTTTGTTTCTTGCTTACTACTGTTTCCTACTTCCTAGAACAGGGCCTGGTACATAGTAGGTTCCCAAAAAATAGCTCTTGAATTGTAACTGCTCAGTAAATATTTTTATCCAAGGATGTAGGTAAAGCTAAATACACACAGAAGTTAGGGTGTGTCCCCTATCCAAATCATAACATGTCTTATTGAGATCAAGTCTTGTCTCTCTCAGTGAGAATTAGTTGGGGTAGGTGAGGGAGGAGAGGGTTCAAAAAACATTAGTTTTCAGGAGTCTGACCTTGTTGGTGAGTGGATGTGTGGGTAAGGGTGAATGTGTGCAGGCCAGAGGGTTGAGGAATCAAGTGTAGTGGGGCTGCCGGGTAGCAACCAGCAGATTGGAGGCTCAAGACTGTTTCTCTTCCTTTTCTTAGACTCCAAATTTTCTTCCCCAGGGGTTCCAGGGCCAGAATCACCAATATGACCCACCAAATGGTGGGGAACTTAGGCTGCAGGTTGAGACAGCAACAGAGACTCACACACTATCCCATGCCATCCTCAGAACCCCCAAATCCGCAATCTAGAAGCACCTCCTCTACCTGGGGTGGGGGTGGGGGGTAAATAATAACGCCATTTCCTGCCCTGAAACTACAGCCGCAAGGGCCAACACCTGCTACCCTACTCTACCCCGGTTAATCACCCCCATTCTGAGGGGTAGGGACGGTATTGCTAAGGCTGTGCTGCCAGGGAGAGGGGAGAGGGGAGCTGCGAAATCTAGAGTGTAGAGTTCCCGCTGCGGCCCACCTGCGGCCCAGGCTTCCCAAGCAGCTCTGGTGGCAGGGGGCGGGGCCGGTCCCTGCAGGTCCCCACCCCCCCACCCTCTGAGATATAATTTAAGCCGCCAACCCAGTGCACCTTCCAAGGTCCCAGTCTGTATCCTGGCCTGTCGCCTTACTCCTCTGACAGCATGAGTTTCACCACTCGCTCCACCACCCACACCAACTACCGGTCCCTGGGCTCCGTCCGGTCGTCCAGCCACCGAGTCCGTCCAGCCAGCAGCGCAGCCAGCGTCTACGCAGGAGCCGGGGGCTCGGGCTCCCGGATCTCGGTGTCCCGCTCCAGCAGCTTCCGGGGCGGCTGGCCCGGGACCCTGACTGGCGGAATGGCTCAAGGTCTGGCGGGAATAGGGGGTATCCAGGGCGAAAAGGAGACCATGCAAGAGCTGAACGACCGCCTGGCCTCCTACCTGGAGAGGGTGAGGAACCTGGAGACTGAAAATCGGAAACTGGAGAGCAAAATACGGGAACACCTGGAGAAGAAGGGACCCGAGGTCAGGGACTGGAGCCATTACTTCAAGACCATAGAGGAGCTGAAGGCTCAGGTAAGGGGCAAGGAGGGAGGGGGCCCGAACTCCAGGCTACGTTGGACCTTCCAGTTAGACACTCCCTTGCACCTCCCCCGCAAGTATTTGTTGTTATGCGCCGTCGAGTCGGACGCGACTCATAGCGACCCCTCCTTGGGTTTCCGAGGCAGTATCACTACAGAAGTAGATTGCCCCATCTTCCTTCCGAGGAGTGGCTGGTGGTTTGAACCGCCAACCTTCTGGTTAGCAGTCAAGTGCTTTAGACATTCCTATGGGGTGCATTGATATATTCCCCACTTTCCACCTCCACTCTACCCACCACTCAGTGGGGAGGTTACTAGGAAAGTCCTGTATTTCCATACACGTCCCTGGCCACAGGGACCCCAAAGTTGGTGGCTGGGTATGGTAGGGTCCTTCCAGAGGAGATAGTAGGAAGAAGGCAAACTTTGCGGAGGAATCAGACAACATGGAGGTGAGACAAGGCCGTAAAGAAGATTCCTAGTTGAGTGGGGACTGTAGGAGGGTTAAGCGGATGTGGCTAAAGCTGAGTCATCTATGAGTAAACAAGAGGCCTACCTGTGGGAGGGGCCACTGCAGGGGGTGGGGGGGCCCAGAGCAGAGGGGTAAGCAGGTGCACTAGGGAAAAATGCCAGGGGAGGGCCAGGGAGAGGACTTGTTAGTGGCTGCTCACTTGCTGACAGGTGAGCCTCACTGGAGGAGTTGAGGGAGACTGGTGGAAGTGTCAGGATTTGGAATTCCAGAAGGGGAGGGAGCAGTGTAAGGGACATAGGTAGAAGAGGGCAGGTTTATAGGGAAAAGCTCCCGATATTCTTGGGACCTAGACTTATCACTGATACACATAATGCCTTCCACACCTTCAGTCTACCTATTGACTACTCAGTCATGAAACAACCTCTCTCTCTTCTCCCCCTCCCAGATCTTTGCAAATTCTGTGGACAATGCCCGCATCGTTCTGCAGATTGACAATGCTCGGCTGGCTGCTGATGACTTCAGAGTCAAGTAAGACTTGATGGCTAGGGAGTGAAAAGGTGGAGGGATGGTGCTAAGAATGGGCTGCTCCCTGGGCTGGGTCAGGTGGGGCTCATAGTAGGATCTTGTTCAGATGTGGGTGGAGCTGGATGAATGAGAGTGTATTCATTCGTTTAACTATTCATTCAAGCAACCCAGTTTAAGAATACCTCCCCAAGCGCCAAGAACAGTGCACAGGGGATTACCACCTGATTTAGCTTGCTGATTTGCAGTAGGCATGGAGCTGCTCTTAGGATCAGAGACGGGGGCTCCTCTGACCACCTCCACACCCACAGGTACGAGGCAGAGCTGGCCATGCGTCAGTCTGTGGAGAGCGACATCCATGGGCTCCGCAAGGTCATTGATGACACCAATGTTACTCGGCTACAGCTGGAGACAGAGATTGAGGCTCTTAAGGAGGAGCTGCTCTTCATGAAGAAGAACCATGAGGAGGCAAGAAGGGCTGCTGGCCAGTCCAGGAACTGAAGGGACTGAAACTAATCTGGGTGGGGAAACAGAAGAAGCAGGCCACCTGAAGGTAGCCTGGCAGAGAAGTTCAGAACTACTATCCAGGACCTTAAAAAAACTCTTCCCATACTCAGTGGGTCACATATACTCAGTAGTTCACCTGAATTGCAGTGTGATGAGGTCGAGATGACATGAGTGAATGACAATGAGATGAAGACAGAAGTAGAAGTAGCTACCACTGGGGATGAGGCCTGATAGAAGAGTGAGAGAAGGTGGGGCTGGCAGGGCTTCCTAGACAAAGGTATAAGGAGCAGGTTTATGGAAGGAGGGTAGATGGAGGGACAGGGAGAAGTGAGGAGGGATAAGCCACCTGTGAGTGACAGACATGGGCAGGGAGTATGGGGAACATTTCTACCCATCTGGAATAGAAAGCCAGAATTGACATTGCCCTGAGTGTAAAACCAAGTTTCCTCTGGTCTCCTCTGGAATTGATCTTGTAGACTTCCTAGAGGAGGCAGTCACAGGTAAAGGGCCTTATTGGACCTCTGACTCTCAGCTCCTTCTCCCATTTGCCCCTCTCTCCTTTAGGAAGTAAAGGGCCTACAAGCCCAGATTGCCAGCTCTGGGCTGACCGTGGAGGTGGATGCCCCCAAATCACAGGACCTCAGCAAGATCATGGCTGACATCCGGGCCCAGTATGACGAGCTGGCTCAGAAGAACCGAGAGGAGCTGGACAAGTACTGGTCCCAGCAGGTACCTAAGGGGAAAGGATGGATGCCAAAGATAGACACAGAGACCTGAGGGCATGGGAGGGAAGAAGGCAGGGAGACAGGGACCTGATGAACCATTCCACCCTGCAGATTGAGGAGAGCACCACAGTGGTCACCACTCAGTCTGCTGAGATAAGAGCTGCCGAGATGACACTCAAGGAGCTGAGACGTACAGTCCAGTCCTTGGAGATTGACCTGGACTCTATGAGAAATCTGGTGAGAGCCCTTTTGTCACCTGCTCAAACTCTGAACCCCTGGATGTGGCTCAGGCCCAATGCTATCTTAACCCAAATCCTACCCCTCCCATCATAAATTCCAAAGTCAGTTCTTTGCATTTCCCACAGTTCCTACCCCTTGGCACAGAGAGGGTGCTCAAAAAATGTGCTCTAAAAGTTGCAGAGACTTCCCCTGCAGTCTGTTCCGGGGCTCACCCAAACCGCCCTCCCTGTGCCCCCACAGAAGTCCAGCTTGGAGAACAGCCTGCGAGAGGTGGAGGCCCACTATGCCATGCAGATTGAACAGCTCAATGGGGTCCTGCTGCACCTGGAGTCAGAGCTGGCACAGACCAGGGCAGAGGGGCAACGCCAGGCACAGGAGTATGAGGCCTTGTTGAACATCAAGGTCAAGCTGGAGGCTGAGATCACCACCTACCGCCGCCTGCTAGAAGATGGGGAGGACTTCAGGTGAGCAGGGCTCTCCTACCCACACAAGTCATGTCAAGATATCATTTCTTTCTAAAGCCTGAGTTTTTATAAGCACTCCCCATATACCTATCCATTGGTATCCATTGAGTGCTGGACTGGTGCTTTATGTATATTTCTCTGTGTCTTCAAGGGAGTAGTATTTATACTCTTATGAGAAAAGAACGGGAGCTCTGGTGGCATAGTGCCTAAGGCATTTGACTACTAACCAGAAGACTGGTGGTTCAAACCCACCAGCCACTCCTCAAAAGGAAGGTTGGGCAATCTACTTCCGTGGTGATACTGCCTCAGAAACCCAAGGAGGGGTCGTTATGAGTCAGATCCAACTCAACGGTAGTGGGTTTTTTATGAGAAAAGAATGCACTAAATTTGGTCCCTAGCAGTATTTAGGGGTTCAGTGGGATTTGGCTTTGAATTTTCGTTTTATGGAGGAAATGGCTAGGGGCATTTAGAGATAAAAGTCAGGGGTCAGGTCTTCCTTCTACTCTGTGGGGCTATTTATAATGGGTGATTGATCTTCTGCTACAGTCTAAGTGATGCCCTGGACAGCAGCAACTCCATGCAAACTATCTACAAGACCAGTACCCGCAGGATCGTGGATGGCAAAGTGGTGGCTGAGACTAACGACACCAAAGTTCTGAGGCACTGAGGTAGCAGAACCAGGGTACCCTTTGAGGAATGAGAGGTCAATAAAAACTTGAGGTCATTGGACATCAATCACTCTGCGTCTTCTTTGGTTACCTTCATACTTATGTGCCAATGCCCTGAATAGTCCCATCTGTGACCAGGCACAAGTCACCTCTGACCCCAAGGATTTCATGGAGGCGGGAGAGTGGGCAAAGGAGGTTCTTAGAAGCACTTCTCAGAGAAAGATGAAGGAAAGGTAGATGGGATGGACCAAGGTCAGTGGGAAAATCTACAGTAGCTTGTGTCTTAGCCTTTGAGGTCAAAGGTATATATTTTATATACTCAAAACCCAAACTCACCGCCATCAAGTCATATGATAATCATAAAGTCTCCCTCCCACCTATTCTGGAGTTTTCTGTGTCCCCGCCTGGCAGGCACTCATTAACAGAAATCTGAGCCATAGGAGAAAGTGGGGCCAAGGACAGAGGGGAAAGGAGAAAGGAAGAGGCAGGACCAAATCACACAGCTGGCCCTCCCTATCCCTGCTAGTTTGCATTCTTGGCCCACCTCCCAATACTTAATACCCACCAGCCTCTAACCCCCAACCCCATGCCGTATATCAAATATTGGTCTCCTTGTCCTGCTCATTCGCCCAACTGGGATAAGAGCTGTAGGAGACCAAACAGTCAACATTTACCCAAAAGCAAAGGTCAGAAGGCAAAGAGGGGAAGGGAAACTAAATCAAAGGAAACAGCAAACAATTGAAATGAGGGAAATGTTGACACATAAAAATTATAACCGATGGTACAGGACAATTTGTATAAGAATCGTTAAAAGAGAACCTAATTTGTTGGGTAAACTTTCACCTAAGATACAATGAAATATTATTTTTTTAAAAAAATATAAAGGTAATATGCATAGGTGCAGTAATCAACAGTACAAAAGGAAATAAAATTGAAGATCTCCTAGCTCCACTCCTCAGGGGTAAACACTGTTAAATAGTTTCTTAAATACATTCTAGGAAAATTCTAGGCATATGCAAACACATTTTATTTTACATATGTAGGATTATACACTGCCCTGAACCTTTCTTAAATTACTCCTTCTTTTAATATATTTTGGAAACATTTCTGAGTATGTGTAGATTTGCCTCTTTTTAACTATCTTAGTATTTAATTGTGTGGAGTACTAATTTACTTACCCCAAGTTTACTCATAATGGGTTAGCCACCAATAATTTGCTCATGCAAAAATGCCCCTCTGATATCTCATGGCTGGTTGATCTAAGGGGTGCATCTCTCTAGAGTAGGTGGGTACATCTCCCCAGGGTAGGTGTTCTGCATATAGGTCTTTCTACTGTTGGGCTGAGAGCCAATTCACAGAAATTAGTCCATTCCTAGGCCTGAAGGGTAACCCAGGGCCATAGTCTAAAAATGATATGCTGAGATGCCATATTAAATATTTATGAAGTATTTAAACTTTGTGCCAGGCCCTGCACTAAGCATTAAGTATATATGTGGTAAACAAAATAGGTATTGTCCCTACCCCATGGAGCTCACAGCCTAATGGTCAAAGGTATGCATTTTTATTCATTGTTTAAACAAATATTTATTGAGCACCTACTATGTCACAGGCCCTCTTCTAGGTTATAAAACAGACAAAATTTTCAATCTCTTAACGTTTATATTTTGGTGATGGGAGACAAATAATAAACCATAATTGAAATAAGTAAGCCAATTATAGGGAGCTCTGGTAGCATAGTGCCTAAAGCATTTCACTGCTAACCAGAAAGCTGGTGGTTCAAACCTACCAGCCACTCTTCAGAAGGAAGGTTGGGCAATCTACTTCCGTGGTGATACTGCCTCAGAAACCCAAGGAGGGGTCGCTATGAGTCAGATTCGACTCAACAGCAGTGAGTTAGAAGCCAATTATATAGCATGTGAGAAGGTGATCAGTATTCTAGGTGGAGATAGAGTAAGTAAGGAGGTTGGTAGTAAGGAGTCCGGAAAGACCTCACTGAGAAGGTGATACATGATGATACAATGATAATAGATCAACTAAAATGGAAAATAATTTTTACATAAGAAATGCAGTTTGCTCACTCTGAAATCTCTGAAAATATGAAAGTCTTTGGTGGAGAAGTAGATTCCTGGGTGGAAAAACAATGTGCTTTTCATTGCTAACCTAAAGATTGACAGTTCAAACCTACACAGCAGTGCCACAGAAGGACAGGACTGGTGATCTGCTTCCATAATGATTACAGCCAAGAAAACCCTATAAGGCAGTTCTACTTTGCAACACATGGCTTCACTATGAGTTGAAATCAATTTGATGGCAATGGATTTAGGTGGAGAAAGGCTAAAGATTGCATTGTTTGAAATACTTTGTTCGAAACATTTCCCTGATAGGCCCAGAGGACAAGCCAGGACAGGTAGCCCCTGTGGGTAATGGGGAAGCCCTTGGAGAAACATGGTGGAATCAGTGTCCCACCCTGAGAGAAGCTGGGTCACAAGAGGGTAGGAGCAGAAAGAGAGTGATCTGCTCTTCCTGAGCACAGTCTGAGCAGGAGCTCCATGGGAGGTTAATTGGGAGCTCCAGTGGGCAGGGATCCCATCTATCTCTGGGTTCCTGGGTTCTACCTGGAGGAAAACAAATCCCATCGGAAATCTGTGGTGGTGCTTCTCACTCTTTTTCCTTCCAACCTCGTGGACCTCACAGCCTAATGATCAAAGCTGTGTATTTTTATATATTCAAAGACCAAACTCACTGCCATCGTCAATTCCCACTCATAGGGAGCCCCATTGGGTCTCCAATGCTGTAAATCTTTACACCTCATCTTTCTTCTATGGAGTGGCTGTGGGTTGGAACCACTGGCCTCTTGGTTAACAGCCAAATGCTTTAACCACTATGCCACCAGAGCTCCTTATTTTCATATTAAAAATCTAATTTTCATACAAAGTATATAAACATAACAACCACCTGCCCCACTTCCTTTCTGTTCTTTCTCCAATCTCCACTTTGCCCTTCCCTGAACCTTCACATGGGTCTGCAGGAGATAAGGAGTCCTTTGGCTACTAACCAAAAGGTTGGCAGTTCGAACCCACCTGGTGGCACCTCAGAGGAAAGGCCTGATGCTCTGCTTCCAAAAGGTCACAGCCATGAACACCCTGTGGACTGCAGTCAGTTCTACCTTGAAACACATGAGGTTGCCTTGAGTCAGGGTCAACTGGAAGGTAATTGCTTTGTTTAAAAGGAGATAAATCTTTGAGGCAGGCCCCCAGACACGCAGAAGTGGTTGAGTTCTACTTTCTGAAGTTTGTTTTAGGAAAGCACTCAGTGGTTTTCTTGCCCCACCCCTCTCCATTTTACCAAATATGTAAGTATAATATCGAATGTGTGTTCTCAAACCATACAGGTGCAGGTGCCCCAGAGGTTCTGAAAAGCCTCCCTAAGGAGTTGTACGGCCCTGGCTGGCAATCACAGTAATTAAAAAACAAAAGAACAAACTCACTGCCATGGAGTCAGACTCAACTCATAGCGACCTCTCCTTGGGCTTCCGAGGCAGTATCACTACCTTCCAAGGAGTGGCAGGTGGGTTTGAACCACCAGCCTTCTGGTTAGCAGTCAGATGCCTTAGGTACTACACCACCAGAGTTCCCAGCACTGTGATTTAGTGGGAAGAACCCAGCTTTTCTTCAGCCCCTACAAAGGAGAGACTGATGGCTCAATTGCAAAGGGTGGGAAGGGAAGAGGGCAGGCATGAGCATACACTGACCCCCGCACACTTTATAGGATGAGGACCTGCCTGAGGGTGAGACAGAAAGTCCCTGGCAGAGCCTGAGCTACACTTGAAGCTCAGTCAAGCTGATCAGAGAAACCCAAGACGATGCACCTGATATGATTATCCCTCCCATTAGACAATGCCTCACAGTTCCCAGGGCGCTTATGCATTTGATCCTCATTACAATCCAGTGAGGTATGCAAGGCAGTGGGTATTACTGGCCCTGACTCAGAGAAGTGACAACTGAGGTTCACAGAGCCAGAAGCATGAAGCAGGCAATCACGTCTCCAGACTTCCAGTCCCCAGCTCTTCCTCCATGTATTATAACCTAACCCAGGGGTTCTCAGTCCTGGCTGCATGTGAGAATCACCTAGGGAGCTTTACAAACAATACTGAGGCTTGGGACCCATCCCCAGAAATTTCTGATTCAGTTGTCCTGGGGTGGGTGTACATATCCTTGTACATGCAAATATCTCTGGAAGGATATACAGAATACCATGCAACACTAAAGAATAATGAAGAATCCTTGAAATACCTCATAATGTGGATGAACTTGGAGGACATTATGCTGAGTGAAATAAGTCAATCACAGAAGGACAAATATCTTATGAGTCCAGTATTATAAAAAGTGAAGGAAAGGTTTACATGTGGAAGAAAATGTTCTTTGTTGGTTACCAGGGATGGGATAGGGGGAAAAACTGCTAGATAGGTAAGAGACAAGTATTGATTTGGGTGAAGGAAAAGGCAATATACCAAAAGAGAATGACCAGCACAATAACACTAAGGAATAGGAAGACACAGAAAGGTGCATAAGAGGTATAGACAACAAACATTAATCTACGGGTGGATACACATGAAAAATGATCAGGTATGAGTAGGCAAAATGAAATATACCCATGACCATATAGCAGGCTGGTGGTTCAAACCCACCAGCCACTCCTCGGAAGGAAGAAAGGGCAATCTACTTCCGTAGAGATGTCGCCCCAGAAACCCAAGGAGGGGATGCTATGAGTCAGAATCAACTAGGTGGTAGTGAATTTTTTTTTTTTTTTTCCCTAATATATAACTTTGGCAGATTATATTTCTAAATACATATTTGTATGTGCTGTATAAATATCCATATATAAAGTATAGCTAATAGGGCAAAGTTATGATTACTTCTTAGTCACAGCCAAACACCTTTAGGGAGTGAGTTGCTAGACCCATGGGCTCAGGACTGTGGTCATGGAGGACATCAAGCCAATTGGCATAACATACTACGCAGAAACATTGTTCTAAATCCTGTTTTGGCAAGTAGCAGCCGG